ATTTGCCCAGGGCAGCATTTTTTAGGGGGGCAGCACTGCCCCCAGGAATAAGGAACATATGCGGCAAGGGGACCAGGTGGGATCCAAGAGAGGCTGTGGGCTGCTTGATGGTTTATGTAGAGCCCGACTGTTGTTCCTGGGGATGTCCAGGGCTGTGAAGGTAAGTGTCTTTCTCTTTGTTGCCTGCGGGGGGGGGTATTAGTGGAAGGTTCTCTCAGGGGGGGCGGGGATGCGGCGGGGGTTTTGTTGGTTACTGTCGGGCTCTCTCCGTGGAGGGGAGCTGGTGTTCGTCAGTGTCAGGATTTCTCCGCCGGTGGGGGGATCCAATTTTTGTATTGCCTAGGGCAGCACAAAACCTAAATACACCACTGCTTTCAACTTGACCAACAGCATACTTAATCATAAGTGTCCAAGGCTTAACGTAAGCTATGTAATAGTTTATTATGGACCAGTAGATAAAGTAAGGTAAAGTTTTTAATATACATAATAGATGTGTCTTACCATCACTATTTTTCATATAGGTATGGTCTGAATTTGGTCCTCCTGGTGCTTCGGTCACATGCTGCCAATTTATGCCACCACCTGAACTTCGCAGCATGCCACACAAATCATCAGACTCAAAATGACATGAATCCAGGAAAGTTAGAGAGGAAGCTGAGGAACAGACATAGGTTATCAACTGTACAAATTAGAGAAATTATAATTTTTTTGGAATATATCAAATATATTGTGTTTAAGTGCAAGGTGATACTGGTGCGACTTGTCGTGCAATTTGATAATTTCAAATCACATGACAAATCGCACCCTATTGTCAGCAATTGAAGCGGTCATATCAGTGACATTAGGACTTCGTTGGAGTAGCACCAATTTTGAAAGTAGTGCATGCACTACGTTTTGCAAGTTCACTTGCAACTTGCATAGACATCTGTGTCCTGCAAGTCACACCAGAAGTTGGACTGACATCCAACTTTGAAATTGTGCGATTTCCAGTGATTTCAAAGTCAGATTGGTGTGACCGAAGACTAATACCCTGTATTAAAAGTGTATAAAACACAAGTTTTATATAAATAGTAAAAATAAATACATAAACAAATAAAACATCACTTTAAAGAACTATCATCAGAAGGAACAAAGGCTTAGCACATAGCACTTGCCTCCATTAAAATCAAATCAGTGGATTTTAAATAAGATAAATTCATGTTTTCTGTCATTGCTGACTGTAGCTCCACCCACAGAAGTCTAAAGTTATGGGCATTCACATGAGCAGGAGTTAGAGGCAGTACTTAGCCCTGCCTCCTCTCCATTCTGCAGCACTTGTCTCCTCATCTTTCCCATTTAGTACACACAGAGTCTGGACCTGCCGCCTGCTATTCAAGATATTACAATTAATGGAAGCTCTTAGCTTGTGTTGTGAATGATTTCAGCTTGGGAAGACTTCTTTCATTCACAAAAAAACGAGCTGAAAACTGCACACACCAGCTACTACATTAGTCTGATACAATGTAGTAGTAACTGGCTTGTGCTGTTTCCAGCTTTCAAAGACTAGTTATCTGACACTATAGCTCGGCAACCCATGAACAGGTTTAGATGGGAACAAGTGTTATGTGCACAGGATCCCCTGGGGGGGGTTTAACAAATTATATTTTCTTTGGTTGATAGTTCTTCTTTAAATACTAATAAACTTAGAGGAAATAAAAGCAACAGCAAACACATTATATTTTCTTTTTAAAGGGGCATGTTTGTGCTAACATTTATGTGCATCCATACATTATATCATGTATAATCCTATACCCACAGTTGATCCAGAGGAAAGCAAAAAAAAAAAAAAAAACAGCAAAGCATGATCCAATTTGCTTCTCTGCTGGGAATTTGCTTCTGCTTCCTGATTCCCCAAGAGGTTTTTGGATATTCCCTGGGTCAACTTTATCTATAAATGTTAGTATCCAGCTATATTCTGTGTATCCAAGAATTGATCCAGGCCTTTTTTTGAAGCAATCAACTGAGCTGGCCAGAACCAACTCTTGAGGGAGTCTTTTCCCCATTTTCACAGCTCTCACTGTGAAGAAACCTTTCCATGTTTGGAGATTAAATTTCTTTTCCTCCAGACGTAAAGAGTGCCCCCTTGTCCTCTGTGATGACCTCAGGGTGAATAGCTCGACACCGAGTTCACTATATGAACCACTGAACCACTGATGTATTTATAGATGTTGATCATATCCCCCCTTAATCTCCTCTTCTCATGAGAAAATAAATTCAGTTCCTCTAATCTTTCCTCATAGCTGAGCTTCTCCATGGCTCATATCAGTTTGGTTGCCCTTCTCCGTACTTTCTCAAGTTCCCTTATGTTCTTTTTGTGAATTGGTGGTGCCCAAAACTGAACTGCATATTCCAGATGAGGTGTTACTAATGATTTGTACAGGGTAATATGATATCTCTCTCTCTGGATTCTATACCTCTTTTAATACATGAGAGGATTTTGCTCACTTTAGAAACCACAGCTTGCATGCCATTATTAAGCTTGTGATCTACCAGAACTCCCAGATCCTTCTCCACCATTGATTCCCCCAGTTGTACCCCCCCCCCCCTAGTATGTATGATGCATGCATATTCTTAGCCCCCAAGTGCATAACCTTACATTTATCAACATTAAGCCTCATTTGCCACATAGTTGTCCAATTAAACAGTGCATTGAGGTCGGCTTGTAAGTTGAAGACATTCTCTAAGGACGGTTTCCACTGCACAGCTTGGTGTCATTTGGTACTAAGTTAAAATCATTGTGAGAACTTTTCATTTTATTGTAATGCACATAAATTTGCCATCTAGGCATTTATTTCTGTTCGCTATCAACACACCTTAGAACTTTTATAATCTCATATGCCTGAGATTCTGGGAGAGTGTCTAACACCCCTGCACCTTATAATTGTACAATATCAAGTATTCCTAGAAATAGGATCCAGTTCATCCAAATTCCTCCAAGCCATGCCCCCCCAAATGCTTTGCTCCACTCCCATGATTAAGCCCTGGGGGCAGGGTGAAACATTTGGGGGCGTGGCTTAGCCTAGTCAGTGGCATTCAATTCATTCATTGGACCTTGTTAGACTGAGCATAGGCTTCTAAGCACTTATCGTGGATCACCAAGTATTTGATGCAAAGTTCAGATCGTAAATTATAAACCACAATACAAAATCTTCCTTTGCCATCTGGCACATCTTTCAAACTTACAACAATTGTAGAGCCGATTCAGTTTTAGGACATCGCTGGCACTGAAGTCAGTTTGCTTCCCAATTACATTATTGAACTGAGCATGCTTTGTAATTACTGTTGCATTTCCAGTGGTGAAAGCTTTGTTGCCATAATGCATAACAGATGTATAATCATAAGGGACATCTAGAAATGTTGATATCGAATCATCATAGAGGTTAAAGTTTGATAATTTGCCTACAGAAATGAAAACATTAAAAATATAAAGTAAAGTAGGCTAAGCTATCTGGCTTAACAATAAATGTCTTTTCAGAACATATTTCTTTATTCCAACATATAACATTATGAATAAGCCCTCCAATATATGGGTATTGTTTAAAGTATAGCTATATTGCAAAAACTTTTTTTTCCCATTTTGTATAAAGTGGAGGATAGTATATTCCTGTCAGGTTTTGTTTTTATTTGTATTTTCTGGAGGACATTTCCCTTCACTTTCTGTCTTGTACATACAATAGGAAATAAGAGGAAATCTCTGTAAAGTTTGCAAATTCCCTCTTAGACAAATGTTACAGAACAAGCGCTTATAGTGGAATAGTTCCCTTATTATTCCTATTTTGCTAACAACCTAAAGTGGTTCTAAAATCAGAAGATTTGTTTACCTTAAGGCATTCTAGGCATTAAGGTAAAAAATCTTCTGTGTGCAGCCCCCAGCCACCCCCATCCCCCTTATACTTACCTGAGACCGATGTTGATCCAGCACAGAGGATGAGAGCAGTATTGCTGCTCTCTCTCTCTCTCCTCGCTGGCTCAGAAGTAGCAGCAGGAAATATTGTCTCCTCTTGCTTTCAACCACAGCAGATGAAGGGAGTGGGGGCGGGACTGAGCCACAATGTGTGTGTCAATAGACACACAGAGCACTACTTGGGAGCAAGCTCACATGAGTGCCCCATAGCAAGCAGCTTGCATGGGGGGGAGCCATGAGTGCCAGCAGAAGACCTGAGAAGAGGAGGATTAGAAGTCGGAAAATATACCATGTTTGTTATATAAAAAAATCCTTTTAAAATCACTTTAACATGTTAGTGTTAACCTCACCTTAAGATCTGGTGACAATAGCGAACAGGATAAATAGGGTGAACTACAAGCATGTAGTTTAATCATTTAACAGGACTAAAAATCTGTGTGTGACCAATGAGCAATTGTTAATTCTCCCCAAATAGAACAATATTTCAGTGTAAAGTACTAGAATTTGCCTTGATGTCAGCTTTCCCAAAAGTCCTATATAGCAGAACTCAGACTAGAGGTGAGAGGGCCAGTGCTAGGAGCCAATCAGGCTCTGCTGAAGTGCACGTACACAAAAATAGAAATACAAATGGAGAGAACAGTGTGTACAGGGTGCTGGCTCATTATTGTGATCCTGTTCCTTAAGGAAGAAATAAAGGCAAACGTTTTTTTTCATTTTGGATAGTGTGAGGGAGGGTTATAAACCTGTAATTTATTTAGCTATGTGTGTCCCTTCACTTCACTTCCCATTGCCAAAACAGAAAATGAGAGTAAATCCCTCCAAAGTGAGGGAATCCCAGGGTGTCACCAGAACTAGTGTCCCCATTGGAAGATTTCCCCTCTATTACTGTTCTGGTGTCAACCCAAAATGTTAGACTTTTTTTACTTTCACTATCAATGATAAAGGTGTTACAGCTTACCAGACTGGATATTTGCCCAGGCAATGGTCACATAGTCATCACGATCAGAACGTGATTGTTCATGAAAAAAACCCAGTACATGAAGGAACTCATGTTGAACTATTTCCACACTATCACAACCAGATCCAATAGAAAGCACTTGTTTTCCAGTCTGCTGGTTCCCAACATAAGAATAACATCTAAAAGAAAAAAAAATAATAAAGTAAAAGCTTGTCAGCTTTGTCTATATGGATTTTTTAAATACAGATATAATATTTTTAATATGAAAATGAATTTATTAATTATTTTAATAATAATAATAATAATAAATATTTGGTGATCAGAACAGAAGCTTCTAGAAATTGTTGATGGTATTTTTTGTAATTCTAAAAATAACAATACACTAACTGGGTTCCTGATCTGTTCAGTTAGGGAACTCATGCATTTGTTAGGCTATGTTATCATGTACTTCCTGACTCTGTCAATGTGGCTGTTCCTCTTGATAATCAGCTGCTTCTAAACCAGTAGCAGGGTGTACTCAGTCACCATGAAAATCAGCACACATTGCATCCAGGGTATCCAGCATCTAAAGTGTTGTATGATAGCACCAATAACAACCTATATTGGCTACTGCTTTCCTATGGTAGGGCTTACATTTGCTCTACCTTTGAGAAGCATGAGAGAAAATTACTTTTTCCTTATTTTGTGCTTACTGGCCAGGCCTGATTTTTTAAATTGCCTACCATTCTGCACTTTTTCTAGAAATGAAGATAAACCTTTGGATGGCAATGAATATAGATGCCTAGATTGTTTCTTTCACTCCAGCGAATCATCCCTTTGGGAACTTTTCAATGCAGAACCATGCAGCAAGCCAAATGATGAAATACAAATTTAGCTTTTTTTGGAGCCGGAAGATAGTGTGATGATAGTAAGGTCTGACAAACCCCAAAATGCGCAAGTTGGTAAAAGGCATGCCTGCATAAACATTTGAGGCAAAATCTGCATAAGACTGTTAATAAGCTGGTCGTAAATGAATTTTTCAAAGCCTCTATCGGAGGCTCTGGTGGAGTCTGCTACTACCCTGTCATTAACCATTCAGAAAGCAGTCTGAAAGCAATGCACACTTGTAAGTCTGGCTTTACTTGACCTATAACTGTCCTTTCATACATCTCCAGCTTTGAACTTTATCCACAATTTATAATTCTTACTGTAATGGAGATACACTCATACAAAATTATTACACAGATGACTAAAAAATAACAATCAGTTAACACATTACATCCCTAAGGGGAATTTGCATAAGATCCATATCATGTTTGAAGTTGTGATTTGTGATTTTTTCTGTTCAATGATATGCTGGTTGTCGGATTGTAAAGCCTTATCATGTGGAATTATAACTATATAGTTAGATTAACTGGAATTAGGTGTGTGTCCCCAGAAGTATAATAATACACTTCAGCACTCCAACATCACACCGTTCAGCTATTTAATTGGGTAAGGGTAGGCTCACCAACACAATCTAGAGGGTCAACAAAAAGCTGCTGCTACTGGCAGCCTGAGCTCTCGATTTCCATCAGAACCATGCAGGAATGTTAATCAGTCTCATTTACCACCATCACACACTAAGTGAGATGTCACATTAGTATCAGAACTTGCTGTGGCCACTGCAAAATATACTTTTAAAACCTAGACTGTGACTAGACCTAGGCCTCATGCACAATTGAGCTCAATAACACCTATTTTACAGGTGTTTGACAGTTTCTTTTCAGCCTCTAAATATCCCTCCATGTTAGCATGTGTGTCCATGCATACATAGGCATTTACAGGAGTTTAGAGGAAGAAAAAAAGCATTACTTGCTTATTCAAGAGAGGAGCATTTGGCAAAAAAAAAAACTTCAAAACTTGCCTAAACAAGTGTAAACCTAAGCTCATTTAGCGCTTGAGCATTTTTTTTATTTGAATGGCTGAAATAAATTAATACTCTGGCCAATGAAATAAACACCCAAGCGTTTGACATGCCTAAACGCATTTGCAAAAACACAGCTTAGGTGCATTTTTTAAGCTGCTTTTCTTTTTTGTTCAAAAGCCCCAGTGTGTCTGAAGCCTTAAAGAGTGCAGGTGGTCTTAAAATCCCAAGAGAATAAATGGTCAATGTTCATCCTTACCTGTTGGGATTGCAAACATCAGTGAGCTTTTAAGTTGCAATGACTTCTGGAAAGATAAATAGGGCATGCAGACTTACACCTGACACCAATGTGCTTTGGTGACACTGGCTATCTCTGATCCTAGCCTTTAGTCCCAGTGAGAGTAAATCTCCTCATCAAAGACAAAGAACACATTAAATACCTGACATAATCTTTGCTTATTCCCTACTCTATCCAAAAATAGAACAACGTTTGGTTGGAGCTCCAGTTTAATTGGAGCTGCTGGCTGAGCAGTCAATAGCTAGGTATGTGGGCAGTGCCTAAGAACCAACCATACCAGTTATTGTTGGTGTGTTTATCAGGCCATGTTTCAGTGGCAACAGTGAGTATTGGAACAGTGTGCGGCAGTTGACAGTTTAGCAAATACTTATCTTTTATGGTGAGTAGCGTAAGTGTCATATGCCATTTCAGAATAGCACTGGTGTTTATAAATACCTGAACTTTTAAACTTTTAAATACGTATTAGCTTTGCTGACATGATTAAGAAGATATAGCTTAGCTTTCACCTCTGTTATCAAGTGAAAGGCAAATACACTGCCACCTAGATGAAGTATTGTGATTCTCAAATATAGAATTTCTCTGAAATCTTGTCAATTTTTACTTTTTTTACATTTGCTGTTTGTGCCTCTGCTGGCATGATTCACCCCTTTCTTTGTCTTGTTGACAACTGACCCTGAGAAAAAAATTAGGACATTTTGAGCTGTGATCTGAGCAAAAGGTGACAGAAAATCCTCCACTGGGGACTCCTATTTGTTGGCTTCAGACATATTTTAATCACCATTAAATAAACAGGTGAAACACATATTTGGGAGTTATTTTACTTGACAGAGCTTTGGTATTTCTGCCCATTTGGTCCTGAGATTTATACGGCCTTGGTACATCCTATGAACTGACAGTGGAGAGACAGCAGCAGACTGATAAGATCATCATTCCGTTCTCCCTACTCTTTCATCCTCTCAGCATGTTCTTTGTCAGCACACCTCCAGTTGTGCTTGAGTGGGTTTTCTCCAGGTACTCCGGTCTCCTCCAGTCACTTCAAAAGATATGTTGGTAGGTTACCTGACTCCTGTCTAAATTGGCCCTAGTATATGTATGTACGAGTTGGTGTTAGGGAACTTAGATTGTAAGCTCTTTTGAGAGCAGAGGCTAGTGTAAATATACAATATATATTTTTTTTATATATATATATATATATATAAAGTGCTATGTAAATTGTCAGCTTTATATAGGTACCTCAAATAAATACAATAAACAAATATTTTGTCTAATCCAAGTTACAAATGAATGCAAACAACCAATCAAATGCTGTCAGCCACTGCTATTTTCCCCTGTGCTCTAAGTACCTGTAAATATATATATGATATTTTAAAGTTCTTATTTTCTGCATTTATAACCAAATTTTGAACAGTCAGGTAAACATTGAGTTCATTTTAACACCACTTACCCAAGGCCTTTAAATACTGAAATGTAATTTTTTTCACCACTCCATGGTTTAAAATCAATGCATGTCTTTAACCTGTACCGTTCAAATGCTTTCAGGATCACGCCTTTAGCATTTATTTCTGTAGAGATGAATTTAGGAAAAAAAAAAACAAAGCTGTGAGTATCATAACTGGGCACATTATATGTTTTACTCTGTACAAACCTTGGTGCAACAAATGTGCTATTCTTTATTTTGTTTCCTCCTTTTGCACAACATGGTAGCATGTGGACTCATAGGGTAACTACATACAGCCAACCTGACTGTTTGTTGTATCATCTTTCCAGGGGCGGACTGACCATTTGGAAACTCGGGCACTGCCCGAGGGTCCAGGGTCAGTAGGGGGCCCCATGAGATGCCCCTGGTACCTTTTTCATAGGCTTTTTTGAGTTTGGGCAAGGACACAGTAACCCCATGATCCCCTATTGCCCGGGGGCCCCATGAGTTGTCAGTCCGCCCTTGCATCTCTCTTCATCAAGACCCACACACAGAAGGACAATATCTTATGTCCTGCAAGTGGCTACTGTCCTATAGAGACATTTTGAGGGAGATAGCACTGAACACTTATCATCCTCCACCAGTTCTTCATGTCACTCACCTTTCGCTTGCTGTTGTCCAGCAAAAAGGAAAAGAGTGGAGTCACCACCCTGCTCACAGAGCCCTGTTTTCACATGACTCCAGGCCCAGTCACTAGGAGTAGACACCTGCCTGCAAACAACCTCGGACGTTGTGTCTGCCTCTCCTTTCTCCTCCTGTTATCAGAGCCAGTACCTCAACTGCCCTTGTCAGAAAGCTGAATGCTTTATTATTTTCTTTAATTCAATTTCTGTGACGTGAAGTTGAGAATCAACTCAGTCTGCATAGTCTGTAATAGTGCCTTAATATATACTTTACTGGATATTATTGCGGCCAGTCTTGTGCTGTGTATTGTTTCCAAAGCATCCATTGCTACTGGACAATTACACCTTTACCTTGGCCAATAATTCAAAAGCTACTACTTACCATTACACTATATAAACTCTATCCTATTTTCAGAATTATAGCACTTCAAACACAGGGTGGGATTTGGAACACAGATTTCAGAGAGATGAAAAATACCAGAAGTTTACAAAGTGAATGTAAATTTGCCAGTAACTATTGGGATAGGTTTATGGTTAACACTTATTTCTAAAAAGTTAAACATTGTTAGCCTTCATGTGTGTTTCCATCTAGACAGTTATATTCAATTATATATTACTGTCTGCAAACTTACCAAGACTGTCTTCCAGGTAATAAGGGACTGTCAGAGGCCATCTATACTTCGATCCAATTAATGCATTTCTTGCCATCTAAGGTTCAAAAACAAAATGCAAGCAACATGTTCACATAAAGTGTATATGATTTTCTAAGTAACATTTAACTTCTCATTTAAAATCCGAACAATGTTAATTAATCTGTTGAAAAATGCCAAACATATTTGCACAGGTTCAATAGGATAGAAATTATCCTTTAAACATATATATATA